TACATGTTTTTGTAGGTAATAGTCAGGCATCAACTGTAAGTACATACACAATTAAGTTTATTACTATGCTTCATTTTATAGTTGAGCCAATCTATGAGTTATATACTGGGACTAATAGTTGTCATTGCTGTACTTGGTGCGTAATAGTTTTATTTCATTTTAATGATTTTCGTCATAGTTATAATTATACTGATCATCGCCATGGTGGTCATTTACAAGAAAATGAAGACCAAGAAGAATTATCACATTGATATTGATACTGCATCAGTTAATAATCCTGTGTATACAGAAACCTATATGATGACTGGCAACAAAGATGCAGAGTTTGATGAAGATGCATATGAAAAAATGAAATAACTTATGGTTAACGGATCCCTTATCTACTTTTATACATATTGCTATACTTGCATGTAGTTAGTTTACTGATAAAATGCTGCTATTAAACTATTTTTTGTGTGCTGTCTTTGATGTGTGCTTTAATTTGCTTTCGCTTAGTGCTGAACCAAAATTAGGTCAAATAAGTAAATTTACACGTAGATCTATTGCAAATTACAAAGAGAAAATAAGAAGTGAGCATCTCTGAGTGAGCATAATGCATAATGTACATGGCCTGAGTATAATTCTCCAAATATGGAAATAGGCCCTGGGTGTGTCATTATAACCTATATACAAAGCATAGACAGTTTAGCAGTCAACAACATGAAAACTAGCTCGCTGAGTCTCATCATAAATCTCATGGCAAAAGCCTAGTGCTAAGTCAGCCATCAGGAACAATCTAAGCATCCTTACCAATGGGATATCAGCTCAACCTACTGTCTTCAGGGAGGTCGTTAACGGTTGTGGTGAGAAAAAGTTGATTACACCAAAACAAGCTAAAGAATATGTTGACAATAGTGCTGGGAAGGAAATAAGTACCAGAGCTGGCAACCTGGTTCATAGCATAATGGCTGTTACTGATGTCATTCCTGAAAGTTTGGACACTTTTTGTTGTATTTTGTATGACAGTGACGATCTAATCTTAAGAAAAGCAGCAAGCAAGATTGCTAATGACTCATTAATTGCTACAATATGAAAATTTGGCAAATTGCTAAATTTTGGTGATTGGCAAATTTGTGGCCACTTGCCATTGAAGTTGATTGAACATCTGCACAATGGCTTAAAATTGCAGATTTTAATTTTGGCAAATGGCTATCAAAATGCCAAAAATTTGTCAAATTTAGCTCCCTTCAAAATTTTTCACTTTACGGTAGCCTAAAAGAAATTTTAATGACTAAATTTTCACATTTCCACCCAAAAATAAATTTACTTTTGTCATGCTGTACTGTATTAAATTGATTTTTTATTTCAAAAATCCCAAAATTGCAAAAAATTTTGGGCTGTGACATTTAGCCACACTTATTTGTAGATGGTCATGATCTACCTCAGTATAATGCCAGACTTGACAGTGACATCAATGAGGACATCCCAGCAAATACTCGTGTTTCTAGTTCTAACTCCCTTCCTCCTCCTCCTCCTCGTAAACCATCAAATCACTCCTCTTTGTTTTCTAATTTAATGAAGCCTCTTGTATTTCTTGCTGTTGTAGTTGCTGTCATTAGAGCTAGTCCTTTTTTATATAGTTATTTAGATTTAGATAGTAAAGGGCCTGAAAATACTTTCATCAAACCACCAGTGGTGGGACAATGCTGATGACGTTCTAACCCAACACACTGATACTCAACCTAATAATGATCCACTACCTTCTTCATCATCAGGCATTCCTTTACTATGATCTTATTACATTTTCATTTTATTTATAGATGAAAAACCACTGATGTTGCATGATTTATATAAGGTCATATAATCATTAAAAGATAATGATTATGATGTTAGTACGTGGAGCGGCTTGTGTCTTGCACTTAGTCTCTCAACCAAGAATAAATACCATTAGAAAGGATCAAATGGATTCAAATGATTATCTGTTTGAATCAATGGTTGAATCGAGTTGATCAAGTTGATGAGTTTGGAGGAGTAACATGGGCTTTATTGGCAATAGCTCTCGAGAGCATTGGCCAAGAGCCAATTGCTGAAAGTAAGTGACAAATTGTAGTCTTTTTAATTTTTTAATTTCTTAATGGAAAGAACAAAGTAGTACACTTTTATTTTACAATTATTTCAAGATTTAGACTTCACTGTAGTGGTACTACCCACGTGTAGCCACGTGGTCCATTTTTAAGGTGGTGCCTCCCACCCATAAATGGCATGCTGAACGTACCTGGAGAGGTATGAGAGGGGTAATGTAAGCAAAGGTACAAGTAACAACTATAGTGAAGCTAATTGAATAGGATAACATAGCAAGGTACTTTGGTAAGAAAAGAGAAGATGACGATCATACTTATACCTGGAAGTGATACTTAAAACCTTTCAAGAGACTATCATGAGACTGAAGAGTGAGGATAATCAGGACATGCCTTTTCATTAAGAAAGTACAATTCACAGACCTTGAAATGGACTACTAAGTAACTCACGGCCCATGATACAGTGAGACACAATAGTGGCATAGATTACAGAGACATGGAGGAGTGACATCTTTCAGCTATTACTGCAGCACAAATAAAGCTTGAGATACAAGACCTCAGTGACAGATTAAAGATTTAAAGACAATTTTTTCATTTCACTTCACAATGACAATTGTCAGTCAAGTCAACCACACCTATTTCAAGATGGTATCAATGAAATGCTCTTGTTTGAGGCTGTTTTTGTGCTTCAAGCTACAGAAGTATGCAGACTACTACACAACATACGAGGGTCAGGCCAGCCTCGAGCCACAAAGATCATTCACTGAATGCAAGTGAGTACAGCCGTGGTTTTGTTGATATTTTTGTGGGTTCATTCTTG